AGTAGCCATCTTTTGGATTACAAGGAAAAGGGTAGACTCAACAAAGATGGTTTTGTTAGCTGTTACTGCTGGGATTTTCAGAGCTTCCTGGGGAAATCTAAATGCTGTGAGGTTGTGGTGGTTTGGTAACAAACAGTCATGATCCATTTTACCATAAGAATTTGGCAATATTTAAAATGGGGAGTTTAATAAGAGTACTAATGTTCTTGTGGTAGCAATTGCTGTCACTCTCTTAAGAACACAGACAAAAATGAGATGAGATGGAGGTACAAAATCATTTTAGATCCTATATTCTCTTCCCTGCATCTCTTTAGGGAGAAGGATTAAAATACGTCAAAGCAAAGATAATGATCAAAGGTAACATTACCTTTCGAAGCTTGCAACAAGAAACCTCTCGGAATATAGTAGCAGCTGTTCCTTTATTCCTTGTTTCTTTAGCCAATCTCAGGATTCATATGTATTTTAAGAAGCTTATGATGTGTTTTGAGGATAAGGGGGCAGGGCAGGAAAATGGCCATATTGTGCAAAGATTTTTTTTTTTTTTTTTAATGACTGCTTCTCTAGGCTGATGTGAAGAGCTGACACAGGAAATTCTGGTCTAGGAATTTTTAAGCTGCAAAGCAGTAAATACGAGTGTCTTTCCCTGGCAGATATTTTTGTTATCCTTTGTTGCTTTTCACATTTGCAATAGTATTTTGAAGTTGCTGCAATTGACCATCATCTATTTAATGTTTTTATTTATGTTTGGATGGCAAAATAAAATTGATAATTATTATTAATAATTTATTCAACATTCCTAAGCCTATTTTGGGAATTAGTTAATTTCTAAGCATCCCCAGTGAACTCTGAGCAGAGCTTCATTTAGCAGGAACATAATCGTCAAGCTTCTATGGACCTGTGGCCCCTCTCACACTGCTGAGGTTCTGATATAAGCCAAGAATGCAGGAAGACCTAGGAGGTTTTAGTACCTCTGCAAGCATTATAACACAGTACTTGCAGTAAGGTAATTTCTACTCTGAAAAAAAAATATAATAGTAGCCATTGCTCACTAGAATTCCTTRCTGAAAAGGAGTATGTTATGTAGTTTAAAGAAGAGCAAGACCCAGGCATTCAAATAGAAAAATCAAATAAATACAAGAAATACTTTTCTTCCTCTTTYACTATTCCTTCCAGCTATTCAATGGCAAATCTTTTCAATTTTCTCATCTGGAAAATGGGAACAACAACCCTTCCTTCCTCGAGGACACTCTAAGACTTAGAGATAAAAAAGCAGCAGGACTGAAAGTGATGCCCTTCCCCCAAGGCAGGCACCACACACTGCAGCCCAGTGTGCTCTGTTTGCATGGTGCTTTACATCCCTATTGCTATTTGGCATAGCAGGTACCCAGTAATACAAAACCTCCTGCTTTGTAGTTCTGTTGCAGGTTGTTTGTCTTTTAGATACCTCTTTCCAATTATCAATTCCTGATTTTTGGAAAGCAAGTTGGATGAAGGCCCCTTTTTGTGTGTGCTTGTTGGAGAGAGAGAGAGAGAGAGAGAGAGATTTTCAGGCAGCTTAAAAAGACTACTATATCTATATAAATATAATATACTATATATATATACACTATACTAGATTCTATATAGTATATACTATATAGATAATATATAAATATTATCAAATACCGCCTGAACTTGTACAGCTTAAATCACCACAGCGTATGAAGCATTCAACTCCTGTGGTATCTGTAATATCATAACCCAATATTTTCCTRTATCCTAAAAAATTAGCATCATTACAACCACTGGCAATATTAGGCTGCAGTTTTTGCATATTTGCAATTCAAATGTGAACAATAACTAACCTGTACATTTATATTAAACATTTATRGTTGAGAGTGTTGACAAATCATGTCATCTATAGGTAATTTGAACCAAATCAGAAAATATTTTCTTTTACATTCTACAAAATTTGCGTGCAGCTAAAAAAATTTATAATTTTATTATAAAAATATCTAAAATATGTATTTTCTATGAAATATATCATATATAAATACCTATTCATATATTATATTTATGTCTATTTATATTTCATTAATATATCTATAAATATATAATTATAACAATTTATTATAATAGAATATTATAAATGCATTAAATACATCATAAATATATTATATATAAAATTTATATAAAATATATTTGTATATTTTTATATAATATATTTTTATAGTTTAAAATTTTATAATTTTAAATATAATGTTTTGCACTTGAATATGACATATAGTACACAATACATAATGTGTTATTGTTTAAGTCTTTCTTTTTTAGATTTTTGTTCTTTCTACTGAGTATAAAAGGAGATGGAGAAGGAAAAAAGAAAATCAGAGTGAAGGTAACAATGTCTAGCAGCAAAGTGAACCACAAACAAAAATTCTTCTTTTTCTTGTTTCATTTACACCATTTTTCCACTGCAAGAGAAAGGAAGGAGGGATTTGTATGAAAAAATTACTAATCTTGCTCTTGCAAAGCAGCCTGAACATTATATCCTTATGCACACACTTTTCATTACATCTTTCTGTTGTGCATGTGCCATCATCATGAAACAAAAATCAAAGTGCATAAATTAATGCCTTGCACAATTAATGCCTTCTAATTAATGCCTTCTCACAATTCTTGTCACATTTGCAATGAGAATACAATCCTATGAGAAATCTTCACCTATAATAGAAATCTTTTGYATTGTACATATTTTTATGATCACATTTGTTGGAAGCTCAGGAGAACTGGATCTTTGAGAAAATACTCCCCTACACGGGATTGCATGGCAGAATAACCGTTTGGGAATGAAGTCCCATAACCATCCCCTTCATTGGAGATACCTCAAAGGACAATTCTTGATCCTGTTGAACATCTTTCACAAAGCAGTAAGATGTCATTATTTTTTATCTTTCATTTCAATAAGACTCAGTATCATAAAATACTCTTTTTAAATCCAGAGRAGTTGCCATGTCCTCTGTTTCATCTCTGTTTGATGTTTTCCTCTTTAATTTTCTAGTTGGCAACTTCAGTATCAATATACCGGCTCTGAGTTACTTACCTAATTAGCATCGAGTTTAACGCTGTCTGAAAAATAATATATATATTTATATAATTATTTAGATGTTTCCTCCCAAAAGGCGATTTAAGGCCAAAGCTTTGTGTATGCTGGAGACTGGCGTGGATTGCCATTCTCCCCAGAAGAGGCAGTTTCTGTTCAGAGGATAGGTCTGGATTAAAATCAAACCAACCAAACCCAAACCAGACGGTTTGTATTTACCTGGATGGGCTTTGAGTGAAGCCCTTTTCCCTGCACAGCAGCTCTCGTGTCAGCATGGAGGAGGCTACAGCGCTGCAGCCGAGCGGGACCCCTCTCAGAGGGGCAAAACATCCCCATTTGGGCAATTTTGCTTAAAATATTACCAGTTAGCATRCTTCTGATCACCATTTCGGATATTGCAAAGGAAAAGCATGTAAGGAGTTTTGCAAATGCTGAAGGCAACACCACTCCCCCTCCTTCCCCAGTTCCACTTGCCTCCTTTTCGCCTCGGCTTCAGGCACTGGGACCCCTTTGGGGGGCAATGGCGCAGGAGAGGGGGCTCCTTCCCCCTTGGGCTCTTGCTGCCCCTCTGGGCTTCTTGCCGGGCTCCTCTGCTCCTTGGAAGAGCAGACATGGGGTGCCCACGGGCCATTTCAGGGCTCTTGGCTGGCCGCACAGCTGCRTATGGGGCGAAGCAGCCGCGTGTGGCAGTTGGGGCGGGCGGTTGGAACCGCCTGGGACTGGATGGAACCGGTTCTGACCAGTCCCGGGCGGTTTCTGCCTGCGCCAACTGCCGCCACTGCCCGTCGCTCAAAACCGCCTCCCCAGRGAATTACTTGCTTAAAAGGGGGTAAAACATGCTCGAAATATCTATTTTTTTCCCCTTTTTTATTCCCTTCTTGTGTCCAGGTGGCAGTGCCACCTCCAGGAGGGCCTGGGTGCCAAAGCAGCTCCTGGTTTTCTACTCCTACATCCCATTGCAGGGGGGGAGTCTCACTTGCCCTGAGATGATGCATGAGTAGGGAAAAAACAACATGAAAAGATCTCTGAAAGTGGCTATTTTGGAGAGAGGAGAGCAGCCAAGGTGGTGGCTTTCTGGTAAACGTGAGTTTTTGTTTAGCACCGGGTTTGCATGGCAGTGTGAGCAGATATCTTGGCTCATTTTACAGGGGGCCAAACTGCAGCCCAATGTTGGAAAAAGCAAAAGTAGCAGGGATGGAGGCAAGTGGAAAAAGACTTTTTCTTTTTCTCTTTTCCCTTCTTTTCCCTTCTTTTCCCCTAAGGTGTTCTCTGACCACTTCATGTTAACTCTCTCCTTTCCTGCTTATGGAGCAGAAATCCTGCTCTTCAGTCTTTGCCTCAAAGTATGCAAGATTTTCTGCATAGTCTAAAGCACTGTGTTTTTTTCTCCCCAGAAATTAAGGGGARCTAATTTTAAACTGATGGGAAAAACAAAATGTCCCAAGGTAGACGTGTCACAGAAAAATTCAACTGGGGCAGCTTGTCTGTGTTTTTTTTTTCTAGGTTAATTTGGGATAGAAAAGACCAAAATGGCATATGCGAAATTAATTTAGGGCGAAAATGCAGAGACTTAGGAACTTGCACATGTGCTTCTAGCATACTGTGTTTCAGTTTACTGACATGGACCCCCTAAAGTGGGATGTTTCAGACATAAAGTAACTAGAATAGTTACTTTATGCTTTAGATACTTTTTATCACAAGGGACAAAATGTAGCCACAACATCTAAAGGCACAAATGTATCAAATAGCAGCTGCATGAGCCCAGGTTTTTCAACACAGCTGGGTTGCATTTTCAGCCAAACTTAGTTCAGGTGTTGAAAAGGTATAAAAGCCTGCTAGCAATTACCACATGTTAGTAACTGAAGTCTAAGCATTGGAAAGCTGCTTTTGGAGAAGATTTTGTTTAAATTTTCATTTTTTATATCCTTATTAAGATCCAGTTTTCTATTTTCTTCTAGGAATGTTTTGTTCATCATCAATGGTATGGTATTTTCTGTTATTGTTCCATTACGAGCTGTTAAAAATAAATAAGACTTGTAAAAAAAAGTATTTGTTGCTTATGGGTACCTTAATATGTGGAAAACAATTATGAAAACTTTATCCTGTTTGGATCTATCACAAAATTTAGAGAATTTAAGTAATAATAAAAAAGATTTAGATAATATTAAAAAACTGGGGTATTAAATGCTCAGTATCAAATAGCTAAAGGGACTACTTTACATTATTATACTGCATAATGTTTAATCCAAGTTATAGTTCCTATATCAATTGTAATTAATTTTTATTGTATATAGTTGTTTTTTTCTGGTCCTGGTTGTCATCACTGTTGTCTTCCTGCACTCTCTTTGAGGCAGTGTTGGATGACTATTTTGAGATCATTGTGGAATAAAGGATTAAGCTGAGTTATTATGTAGTATGAACTACCCAGTTCATAGAACTATTTAGGGTATATAGAAACAGTGACTAAAATACTACCCAAAAAGAAAATATTCATCCAAGAAGCAGTCTTTTGTGTTTTGCTGTGCTTGCTTTCCAAAACTGTGTGATGTTAGTTGTAGCCTCATGACATACTTTGTTTCGTTCTTGCAGTTTCTCACCCAGAGAGGGTTAATATGTGGCTGAAGCAGAAGAACCAACTCATTAAATTAAGTTCTGAATAACAAGGTCTCAAGAAAGTGAAGGCACATGAAAGGTAAGCAGCATATGTGCATAACATCCATGAAGAGAATAGAGTCTACATAATGTTTTTCAGTGTTTGATGGGACTGTAGACTAACTACAGCTGGATTCTGTAAAAGTGTATAAGAGGTGCACAAAATGAGAAGGAGAATTAATTTTATCTTCAGATTCCACTTGTCTGCTAATTGGTAATTGTGTTTTCTCCAGCCTCGTTGTGATTTATTCTTATACAGCCTAACTATTGAATTTGAAATGAAGACTCTTTAAAGATTATCTTAAATTCATTCTGTGCACTGTGTTCTTGCAAATGTGTTTAAAAAAAAAAAAGAGCAAGATGGGCTCTCTCTTTTAATTTTTTTTATGACTTCCTAACAAATTATTATTGCCTCCTCTCCATTCCTTTCCTCCACCCCCTCCTAAGTAACAGTTTTTTAAAAAACTTACTTCTTATGTATCAAATGGGTCAGGTTCTTAAAATCTGCTACTTTCTCTTGACAATCTCTGAGGAAGTGGAATTTACCAAGAACTACTGACACTGTTAACAGACCTGACCCAAGAATCTAGGAATAATAGTAAAAGAATTCAGGGGGTACCTGCCTGTTCTCATAAAAGGCTTGTTCTGTACTGTTGTGTGGGGNTTTTTTTTTTTTTTTTTGGTTTGTTTTTGTTTAGCACCCTCTTGGAAGGGTATGATGGTTATGGAATCAACCACTACCTGGAGTACAGCTTGTGGTTTGCTAGTAGCTCTGCTGCAAGGCACAAACTGTCTCTCTGAGATGCCCTTTCTACTCAAAGAAAAGCAAAACGGTTAGAGTAGATTGGTGGTTTTTGTTATCCTCTGTTTTATTTTTATTTCTTTTTCTCTCCTGTTTGTTGTCCATAAGTAGCTTRCAGGTATGTTGTGATGGAGGATACRGGTGTTTTACTTTGCTAGTTTTTATTTTTTATATTGCTACTATTTTTTATTTTACTACTTATTTTTATTTTGCTACTTGTAAAGAATATTTTCTTTATCTGACATTCGCTGTTCAACAATTTCACCATTATTCCAGTGCAAAATGCTTTGGGGAAGCCGCTAACTTTAGTTGCTCAGTTTTAGAGGTTTCCTATTCATTAAACTATTGAAGAGATAATCAATTTACTAGTTGTAGTTACTTCTTTTGAAGTGATTATGTACAAGTCAGTGACTAAGACGCAATTTGCTGATTATGATAAATTGATATAGTCCCAGGGTTCATTAAATATCTCTTTTTGAAAAGGGAAGGGGAAAAAAGGCACTATGTCTATGATAAGTCATTCATATTAGTCACATGGAATAAGAACACCTTCAAAATAGTTTTATCTTAGTTGTGTATTTTATTTCAGGAGTTAAATAGCTACTGTTAAGGTAAGGAAAATGTTAGTTACAGAGCTAAGAGGGGTTTTATTATAAATAATAAAGCTAATAAAAATGGAGTTTTACTCTCTATTAATGTTAGTATGGGCATAAAAATCAGATCAGTTGATTCTAATGGTATCTAATACTTCCTTTTGACTTTAAAAGATCATTCTCCAGATGACATTAACTGGAGCAGCCTTGGCTTATGTTCTTCCCATATTGCCAAAAAGGTGTACAGTGATCACAGAAGTCCAAAGAATCTATTCCTTAAAATGAACACATTTTGGTAACCCCTCAGTGGAACTTAGGCTATGTCTATATTCCAGTTCCAGTGTCCTGGCCCCARTATGGGCATTTACCATTTTCATGATTTCTTCAGGGGTTTTCCGGTAGCGTGTAGGTGCTGGCCCTACAACTTGGTATCTGTTGGCTTGGAAAGCACTCGAAGCTTGGCAGTTCTGTGATGGTGAGTGGTGTTTGTGGCAAAGTTCCTGGTAGGACAGYCCCATGTAGCATTTAGTTGTTGGTAGCTGAGATTTGTAGCATGCTTTTAGGATTACAACTCTGAGGCGGTGTTCAGACTAAATGGTGCCTGAGCGTGCAGTGRGGCTGTATGCGTTCCCTGTGTGAGAGCACTCTGCGGTGTTGGAGAAATGAACTACGTTTGTGGTTCAATGTGTTTTTTTAGGTGCCTTGCTGTGCCTAAATTTTGGAAGCAGGAAATCATTCCCTCCCTCTCTTGTTCTTCAGTTTAACTCCAAGCATGTGCTTCTGTTGCATATGCCTCCTTTGCTCTGTGTCTTTGATCCATTTATATTTGCTCCATTAAAGTTATCTTTAGATTTGTTTGTTTGTCCCTGGCTCAGACATCAGTCAGCAGCTTTGCCTTTGATGGCTCTGGAGCTGTCTGGCATCTGTCTGTGAAAATACAGCAGTGTTTCCACAGGGAGGCACCAGTCTTCTGATTTGCTTCTCTGAATTGTACAGCCCCTTGCTGGGCAAGGCTACAGAGGACATACCATAATCTCTGGCTACAGTGCTGAGTTTATGCAAAGCCGCAGTCTCCTATGTTTTAGGAATTCTGGACTTCATTGCTTTTCTCAGAAGGATGCATCCCAATTTCATTAGATTCTTCCTCTGAGTTTCTTGACAGGTGGGGTCTTATTATGTGAATGGCTGAGATGTAATGAATTCTAACAAGTATTTCTTGCTATTTTGTCACAACTGCTTCCAGTAAATGTTGTCCACTGATTCCAAGGCAACAAATAATCYAGAGAAGGACAAATAATTTTAATAAACTTTTTTTTTTTTTTTTCAAAACAGACAGTCATCTTAGCTGTTTACTAGTGCAGTTACACAGACATAATCCACGCATGTATCTAAAAAGAGCACCAAGGTTGGAAACAAACAAAAAGAAAAACCCACTGAATTTCTTAGAGKCTTTTTAATAGAGTAATTGTATCTCAGCAACATCTTTGTATTCACGGTTCAGACCATCTTTGTRTTCATGCTGTATACAATTTCACCTACTTAAAATCATGATCAGAGCATTAAAAAGACCAGTGTACCTCAGCGTAACCACATACCATGGCACATTTCATTTTTAAAAACCATCTGTGTTTTTTTATGATATGTAGGTAAGTATTTTAAATAGTCAAGAAAGCTTTAAATATGTTTTGCAATTTTATGCTGCTCTTTCTACTGCAGGGRAAAAAAAAGGATATAATCAGCTTTGAAGAATAAAATGATATTTTCTTGGTGGATTTCAAGAGCAGATAATTTCTCCTTTACAATTCTACGCTTCAGGCAGAATTCAGTAAAATATATACAGCTTTTGTGGTCTTGTGAGAATCTGCAGTGCAGGAACTGGGTATATCTTTATTGAACCTGTAAGTGAGAAATTTATCGAGTAGCAGACACGAGGTTTTGTCTCCAYTTTAGAGCAGTGTTGCAGTTTTATTCTAGTACCATCCAATTGTAATGTTCTGTTAAGACTGCTCAGAYGTTTGTACTATATCCCTTCTATTCAGAAGTTTTGTTACTAAGTCAAACATCGATGAAGTTTGTGCTAAAATTGATGTTAAAAATCTCTACTCATGAGCAAATGCTGATGTATTATGAAAATGAGAGGTTATTCATCTTTGTCCCTGTTCTTCTAATTTTAACCTTTTAATTCATCCATCAATTTATATACACCTTGATTTTGTGTCTTCATGAATTAGTCTATGTCACTTGCCCTTTGTCTCCAACAATTAAGGTACCACTTGAAATTTTCTCCCTCTTCTCTCGTAATAAAACCAATTGCTGGAGGGTGTTCTCTAGCAATCTGAAGTTAAAACTGTTGCCAGTGGAAGCACAGTTCTATCTGCTGGTATTTCTAGGTCTAAAACAATTTTTTTTTTCTGTAAGCAAAATTCTTTCTTTCATTCTGGTATACAAAATAGCTTGGAATGTGTCAGGAAAATGCTCTAAAATACTCTGAGATATCCCCCGTGTTCCTTTGGGTATATTTGCAGTTTGGAATAAAAATATATTGCACTATAAAAACATCTTTACTTTTAAGAAAATTATTTTCTTGAAATGTATTTGCAAAGGAAATAAGCTACATAATGATGTTTTTCTGAGTTTTCTGACTTTAGGAATGGCTTGTAAGAGCGTATGACCAGAATTAGGGAAAGGGATAAAGAAAGAGGTGGCACATCAATCAAGATATGTATAGCTTTAAATGGAGTATTTCTGTAATATTTTCATTTGATTTTTAATTTTTAAGAATTTTTATTTTTTTAAGYCATGTCTTGCTCAGTTAAAAATTGCTAGCTTAATACACATTTAGCAGGAACAGTAGCTTATTAGAAGGGAACATTAAAAGCTGTTGCTAGTTATCTCAAAATGTCAAAATACACATGTAATGAAAGATGCCCATGTACTGTAGTGGGAGCTGACTTTAAGATTAGGCCTCCTGGAAGGAATATTGAGATAGAAGAAATGTAGAGTGCCAGTGAAAATGAATGGTTAAGTAAAGATACTCTGTAATGATATAAAGATGATCTGTCTTATGCTTGGCTAGTGTTATGGTGCAGTTACTGGAAGTCATCCTTAAATACAAAACAGTTCCAGATGAAGTTGGCTATGATTTCTCTACTAAAACAATTTTCCTGAACCACTAAGAAGTAAAAATACACAAAGAACACAGTCTCTTAAGAAAGATGAAAGCACAGCAGATCTCGTATAGAGCTTATCAGAGAGAGAGAGAGAGAGAGAGTAGTGTGTCGTATCTAAGCATTTTAAATTTACAATACTAGATAACATGACAGCAGTGGGGATGAGTCCATGTGCTCTTCATATTCCAGGAGAGGATTAAAGCTAAGTGTTTTAAAAATACAATTTGTTATCAATGCTTTATGAGCCATGTTTCATTAGCTAAAAGTCAGCTTATAGAGTCTGTGGTGGTGTTTTGGGGTTTTTTTTTTTTGTTTTTTTTTTTAAAGACTGACATATGTATCACTGCATCAATGTGGCACAGCATATTGCTTCACTGTTTCATCATATTTGCTATTTTGAAGTGATCAATATATTAATATGCAGAACACTTTTTCCATAGGGAAGGGATGGGCCCAACTTTTAGTGTGATAATTT